ATATATATATATATATATATAATACATTTTATGATTATTATTATTATTATTATTATTATTATTATTATTAAATATAGATGTTTTGCACCATGTTTAAAGAGTTTAAAAAGAAAAAGAGAAATTATTATTATTATTGTTGTTGTTATTATTATTATTATTATTATTATTATTATATAAATATAGATGTTTTGCACCATGTTTAAAGAGTTTAAACAGAAAAAGAGAAATAATTATTATAATTATTATTATTATTATTATTAGTAGTAGTAGTAGTAGTAGTAGTAGTAGTAGTAGTAGTAGTATCATTATTATTATTATTAAATATTATATAGTTATTCCATGACTGATTACAAGTTACTGCTTCTGAATACTTGATTATAATCATCGATTGCAGAATAACATTTTTGCACCATGTTTATTGAGACTAAACTGAAATAAATGATTATTTTTGTTATAATAATAATAATAATAATACTTGTATTTTAGAGAACCCAACAATGAATATATTATTGGCAAGTTTATTATTATTTTTAGCAGTATTATTATTATTATATATTAAATATCATATAGCTATTGAATGTTTGATTACTAATTGCTGCTTTCGATTATTTATCATTATTGATTGAAAATTACATTTTTGCATCATATTTAAAGAGATTAAACTGAAAAAAAGAGTATTATTGTTATAATAATAACATATAATATAAAAGTATTGTCATTATATTTGTAATATGGCAAACAAAACAAAATAGCTTGTATTTCAGAGAACCCAGCAATGCATTTATTATTGACATATGTATTATTATTATTATAATTATTATTATAATAATAATAATTATTATTATTATTATTATTATTATTATTATTATTATTATTATATAGACGTTTTGCACCATGTTTAAAGTTTAAACAGAAAAAAATTAAATTATTATTATTATTATTTTATAATTATAAATATATAAATATAGGTGTTTTTATTATTTGTATTATTATTATTATTATTATTATTTGTTTTTAAGAGAACTTAGCAGTGCATTTATCCTGACCTACACTACAACAGAATATGATCCAAAGGTCATGTTTTTATGTTACTTTAACTTTCAATAAGTTATTCAGCTTTCATCTTATTTTTTAAGTTATTAACAGACATTTTAAGTCTTTTGAATTGATGTAGGTAAGTGACTAAATAAAATAAAGTTAATTTGATGAATGAAGTTAATTTGATTAAATTGGTTTAACTCTGCAACCATTTTTTACGGTGTGGGTCATTTGACTCTATCATGAGGTTTCCCCTTACTAGAAATCAATAGCGGTATAATGTATTTTGCTGTATAGTCTCAGTCTAAAAGAGTGGAATAACCTCCTGACGGGTCTCAAATGAACTCCTGAAGTGTAATTTAGGTGGTGGTGATCTTGCCCTGAGCACCAATCCTTTTTATTATTTACACCCCCTAGAATGGAGGCCACCATCCCCCCCTTCTGCACACACATAAACACACACCCTATCTTCCACTTTGGCTCTCCAGCCCAAACCAGCAAAACCATTTCACAGTTTACTGATGCAGACCGACCTCGAAAAGGCCAGCTTGGGTGGGCAAGGTTAATAAAAATGTTTTTTTTTTTTTGCTATAATCTCCGTCTCTACCTCTTCTCCGTCTTCCTTCTCTTCTCACCACATTAAATCAAACTGCTTAGATGCTCTGGGACGGGCTTTAAAACCTCTCACACGCACACAGGGGGTGGTTTGGTGGCCTCCAGGAGCTGCCAGTGGGGACAGCCGTCAATTTTTCAGCTCTTTTGAAAGCAGGATTTACAAGTGGACAGAGTTCAGCCGTGAAGGGATGCAGAGTGGAGAGGTTTATGGCTTTTTTTAAAGGGAGGGAAGGAAGGAGAGGACAGCACTATATGAGCATGATTGCACCCTCTTTATGTCAATATGGCATCAGCCTCCTCGACAGCTCCACTACTGCATTAAATATGAACTGCTTTTTTTGTTTGTCAGCTAGTTTCTCTTGGTCATTCCTTCAGTACTGCCTACAGTCTGTCTTGCTGAGAGCTGTGTGTATTGAGCTCATTAATGCAGGTGAAGCAGATCTCATAGCTTGAACTGTATCCCGGACGAGCCCCCGTTTTTTTAAATGAATTCCTATGAAAATAGATGTCTGTAAGTTAAGGAGGAAAAAGAAGACTGCTAATTTGACTTTTGGCTGTCCACATGTTCACATAACAACAATAAATAGCATGTGGTTTTCCACCAGGTGGTGCTAGCCTGGAAAATCATTTAAATTGTTTGATTTCTTTGGTTTTTTTAAAGATTCTGGTCCACCCTAACAATGAAATAAAATAAAATACATTGCAATTTTCAATTCTCCTTCCACATCTCTGCTTTGGAATCTGTTTCCACCAGCCGACACTGTTCTGAAAAGATGTATACAAAAACAAAACACATTGCCATTGTTCATTCTGAATTTGGTTTCTTTTGTTCTTAATTATTTTCACTTTCTTCTTTGTTCGTCCTTTCTGTTTTTGTCTGTCTTTTGTTCATTTTTTTTGTTGTTGTTGTCGTCTTCACTCTACCATTGTTGTGTCTTCAGCTCGCCCTGTCGGTAAGTACCCATCACAGTCACTCCTCCATACTGCATGTGTGCCTTCTGTGCTCCTTCCTCCCTTCCTGCTGCACACACAGATATACACAACATGGTGGCTCAACTCTTCAACTAACTCTTTAGAGATGCAATACTTTCTGCTTCCTCTTCTGTACTTACCTGTTACATACTAACCTGTAGCTGGACTAACTGTACGCTAGTATAGCAATCTCCCACACTAGTACAGCCCAAAAAACGAAGTGAGTGTGATGAGTGTGCGTCCTCTTTTAAAACTTTGTGGATTCTACTTAATATGATTAAATTCTTCATAACACGCATAGCCATCTGGGTGTACATTTGGCTGCGTTGAAATACTTCAAAACAACATGTTCCAGACTCCGAGAGGATGTTCGATTAGTCATGTCAGTTTCTGTTTATTTTTCTGTCAGTGTGTGCATTTCGGAGAAAGCGTGCATGCTTTTTTCCCCTGTTGTGCTCATGTGTGTTTACTTACAGCTCTCAGAAGTGTGTTTAGTCGTGAACTCTCTCTAGTACGGAGCAGATGTGCTCCGTCATGAATTAAATATGGGAGCCGATCAGCGATTCTGCTCTTACAGGGCCGCATTCTCCCAGCAGACCCTTCCCAAAGAAAAGAGCCCAGCGTGTGTTTTATTCACAAAACACACATGCATTAAAGAATGTACCAGAGATGCAATCAAATGCAGACACAGTTTATTTATGACTATCTTTGTTCTGCTTTCTTCAGAAAAAAATAGACTTGGGAAGTGTGTGTATGTGTGTTTTCCTCCCCTCCTGGCCAAAAAGGGCTTTAATACTCAACTGCACAATGAAGTTGAGCGTCCAAGTCATTAAACAATCACTTTGAGTGAGTGGCATTGCTAAATGCCCGTCTTTCATGCTTGCACACTCAGTGCAGAAAAAAAAACGTTGGAGTAGAATGAAACCGGGCCAATCTGTGATTTAAAGCCTGTTTGTTATGCCCAAACTCGCAGAAGTGTCCATGCCACCATGCGCCCAGATTGGGAAGCCAGTAAATCTGCCACCATCTGTAACTTGCCTGAATGTGTCAGCCTCAGTCAAGTACAGCCTCACAAAAGAGGGCTCAGTCGCATAAATCACAAACACTTGCAGACTTCTCTTGTCCACAGTTGCCAGCTGCACAGACAGTAGAGGGGCTCATTTAGGGATCAAAATGGAGGGAAGAGTGTTTTTTCGCCCGTTGGATTTTGTCTTTTTGTAAATGGGTATACCGTGAGTAATGGTTCCCCTGCTAAATTATATCAACTGTTTGGAGTCTTGCCTTTAGATTTATTGTCGTGGCTACAAGTATAAAACTAACACAGTGTCAAAATGCTGAAATTATATTAGAGTTGTTGTTTTTGGTCCGTCTTTGTAACTTCTTGTGAGCCTTACAACCGAAAAAGCATCAATTTGTATTAACAATAGTACATTCTGTCTTTTTTATAAGTAAAAAAAAATGATGGCAGGGTCACAGTACAGATTTTCTGACAGCAAATCATTCTTTTATATGGGTCAACTATAAGCATTGAATCCTGAATGTAAATACTCATGCTCCATCTCTGAAACTCTCTATGTTCTTCAGTCTAAAATAGCATTTGTCTTCTCGCAAGCTCCAGCTGCCAATCCCTGCCTTTGAAGACAAACCTTTTTTAGACAATCGGTGCCCTAACTTTCTCATTAAGGAGAAAGTAGCAGTGACTCTATGTCAAGGGCAAAGTTTGGATCCCTATTCCTGAATTCCGATGTCATTGTAGGGTCATGTAACACAGGGAAAGCAGGGAAGAAGGTACTTTTAATTGGTTTATTTGAATGTGCTCGGCAGGAATGTTGGCTCAGTTTCTGTGCCGGGTGAGTTGAGAGGTTAAAAATATTTTGCTAAGTGTGATGAATAAGAAAAAAAAATCATTCTGTGAGAATTTGACCTAAGCTGCCACTGAGAATTGAAAATGATGTCTATTAAAGTGACAACAGCCATTTCAATGTGGCCCAAGCTTGTCCAGCTTGAGACATCTGCTTATGTTTGATGCAGGAATATAAATGGATGTGTCCGAAATCGCCCCTATATATGGAGCCAGAGCAGTCTCAAAAATAATACATTTACAAGATTAAAATGTATACATGCCCAGCACAATACACATTTACGAAATCCAATTCAGAATTTCAAAACACAGTTTATAAATGCACAAATCCAGTTGGAAATTTCAAAACACAGTTCATAAAAATATTTAAAACATAATTAATATACAAATACAGTTCGTAAATTTAAGACACAATTTATAAATACACAAATCCGAATCGTAAATGTAAAACACAAGTCATAAATACACAAATCCAATTGAAATTTTTAAAACACAGTCCATAAATACACAAATCCAATTCTTCAATACACAAATCCAATTCAAAATTTCAAAACACAGTTCATAAAAATATTTAAAACACAATCAATACACAAATTCAGTTCGTAAATTAAGATACAATTCATAAATACACAAATCCAATTCAAAACTTCAAAACACAGTCCATAAATACACAAATCCAATTCATAAATTTTAAAACACAGTCCATAAATACACAAACTCATTTTATAAATACACAAATTCAATTAATATATTTCAAAACACAGTCCATAAATACACAAATCCAGTTCATTAATATACAAATCAAAGTCATACATTTCAAAACACAAGTCATAAATACACAAATCCAGTTAATTTAGACAAATATTAATTCTTTTTTACTTATGAATTAACTAATTGTGTTTTGTATTTATGAAGTGTGTTTTAAATTTACAAACTGAATTTTGTAAATGTTAATTGTGCTGGGCATGTATCAATTTTATTTTGCAAACATATTATTTTTGAGACTGATCTGGCTCCATACCTATATCCTTAATACTCTATTTGAGGGAGCAGCCATTTCTAGTGCCCAAAACTATAGTGGATGTTCTACATGTAGGTGCATTTAATCAACTTAATTCGTCTCAAAATGCACCGCAGTAAAGGGTCTACAACTAATATACACTCAATAGCTAATATATATGCGATTTGAAAATTTGCGCGAAAAATGAATTTCAGCACCTAGAAGTACAAGATCTATATCCACTGTGGTATCTTATCAGTGTAATTGAAATATATATACATATAATTAAATGAGCGTTTATATACATGACAGAAATCAAAATACTTAATTTCATTACGAATAGACAGTATGCTGTGTTAAATAACTATCACAGAGTCTGTCCAAGACCCTGAAAATCTAATCCATCTTGGGGATTTATCAACAAATAAAAAACAAACCAAATGACATCCCTTCTGGGGAACTCATGTTCAGTTCACTCACTCGTATTCATCCACTCATTTAAGTGGACTATATTAGTACAGTAATGTAGGAATAATGCAGCATCTATGGGGCAGGATAGTAAATCTGACGTTGTTCTCTCTTCTGGCTGCCGTCTTCAGTCTCACACAATTTCTGTTTCTTTTTCTGGAAGTCTTGATATCACCATCATGGCAGTTTTCTTTTATTATTTTAGCAAATAGGATTGTAAAAAAGTTTTCCCAACTATGACGACTTCCGCTACCGAGAAACCCAGAAAATGTGAAAAGGATCCATGGGGAACATATTCGAATCCAGCATTAGTATCTTTAAACCCACTTACTCAAAAAGTGCCCATGCAGGTTCCACGTGTGACAACCACACATACTGTAGCGTGTCCTCTCCGTGTGTCCTGACCGGAATGACCCACCCCTCCCTCTGGTGTTGTGACTGCAGCACGGCCATGCCTGAAAGCTGCCCGTCATTCATTCGGTACCGCCATCTGCGGCCCCACCTGGATGAATGGCTTCCCGTGGTTACTGTTGCTGTCCTTGCTGTTTGTGGTCAAAGCAAACAGATAAACCCAAAGGCCGAATGCTGTCAAAAACGGGCTAATGCATGGAAGCTCTGTCTCAGTAACCTCGGCAGACCATGCTTGTGGATGCCTGATGTTCCCACTGATCAGCGTGTGTATGTTGGTGTGCATTTGTGTGTGTGCGAGGGCATGGTGTAATGTCCATGTGTTTGGTTCTTGGCTCAGCTGCACCGCAGTTCGTGATCAGGCCGCGGGATCAGATTGTGGCACAGGGACGCACCGCCAGCTTCCCCTGCGAGACTAAAGGGAACCCGCAGCCGGCAGTCTTCTGGCAGAAAGAAGGAAGTCAGGTAAGGACACATCTTTCTCTTTCATTATTCCCCTAACCTACAGTACTGCTCTCTTGGTTATGTTGAAGCTTTTGAGATAGTGGTTAATGTACTCTACATGCTTCAGGGATGTTTGCAATTGCAGGCAATACAGTTGGTAAATAAATTCTGGAACCCAGCAATGTTCAGTTTTGGGCATGCACAATATATCGGCTACCATACTAGTGATTGTTACGTGTTTATGATGTTCAATAATTAAAGGGATGATACGTAACAATCAGTGAGTCTATTGATGCTGGGTGAATGAGGAGGAGACACATACGCTTGATAAGTGAAAGAAAATATGATAAGTGAAAAAAGTAAGTATTTATTAATGGATAATGTCAAACAATGAATATAAGATGGAAGATAAATGTAATTTTAAATAATTGAATTAAATAAAGAAAAATAGAAGTGTTGCCAAAACAAAGAAATAAATATAACAAAACGAACTAACTAAACCCCAACCCACTAAACTGACTGATCAAAGAAAAATGCAGAAACAAAACCGTAACCTTCAGCACGTAGCTTAACTAAACTTCATAACTACCAAACATAATTACACATGTGGCAACGCCTCCAAAAACTATCTAATACAAAATTATACTAAGCTGCTCGAAATGCTAGAATTCTCGTAAAGTACACACTGTTAGCCATTAGCAAAACAAGATCTCAGGTAATCCAATTCTCATAAAGATCGTTCAAAATCTCACTATACATTAACAAGAGCAGCACCAGTTTAACTGAAATATCAATATCAACAGAGAGAAAACTAGAACACAGCACTCGCAAACGAATCAAGCGGAACAAACAAACAAACAGTCCGACACAAGTGAGGAGGTTGGCAGGCCAAGCACTCCTCCAGAACAGCGCAAGCGCACTGGTTTTATACTGTGCGGACCCGATCCTTATTGGCGCGCTGATTTAGTGACGAAGGTGAATGACAGCTCACCCGACCAATGGTAGCACACCTGAAACAGGATAGGACTACAACAAGAGAGAGAGAAAGAGAGAAGAGAGAAGAGCGCAAAGCAGAAAACAACAAAAAATACTACAAAACATACGTGAAACGTAGCAACGATGATAAAAGTTATTATTGATTAAGGGTGTCACTATTTCGATTTTTAATCGAAATCGATTGTAATTTATGCTCAACTTCGATTATCCAATCAAACAATAGAATCGTCGATGCTGCCACGCCCCCATGTCACATTAGCTTGGCTTGCCAAGTGGGAAAAAAACATGCTTGTTGAAGTGCTTGTTAAACTGCAGACGCAGGAGACCCATCGACAGAGCTTAAATCCTCTCCTCTTTCAATGAAGTCGCCGGTGTGGAAGTATTTTGGATTTTCAGTTAGTTATGTTGACAACGTTCATGTTGTTGACAAAAAAAAAACACAGTTTGCAAGCTCTGCTATGTACGTATTACGGTTTAGATGATAGACGATGGGCGCATCGCGATCCTCCGCCCCGCACCCGTTGCAAATCCGCTCGCGAAAAATACACACTCAGGCCCTGTTTACACTAATATGTCTTTGTTTTTAAATGGCATTTTAGAACGACAACGATCCACATCCACACTGGCGTGTAGCATTTCTGAGCAGCCCTCCTTCCTCACTACCTCTGAAAACGCACATAACGTGACCACACACACTCATTCACACACAGACACAGACGCACACACATTGCCATGCGCTCGAGACAGTGGGTCAAGGCAGTCAGCGGGTCAGTAGACTGCTTCCATCTTTTACTTTCACACAAGTACTTAGTCATTTTAGCGAACACCTCAGATACTGTTGGCTGGTTCCTGTTGGTTGTGCACCTTTTTTACCGACGCCATTATAACGACACAGATCACTGCCTATTCACGAGTCCCACAGAAAAAAGTGATTGACAGGTGGTAATTATGTGTGTAACTTACCTTTCATTTACTGTATGATTTGTTTATGGGTAAAACGAAGACCATGCAAGTCATGTAGCTTAAATGGTAGGCTACAAATAATTAATTTGTTATTAATTCATTAATTATTCATAATCGAAAATCGAATCGAATCGAGACTTTAGAATCGAAAATGTATTCGAATCAAGGATTTGGAGGATCCTGACACCCTTATTATTGATGTTATCATTATTACCCTGATATATTAAAGCTGATTTATTATGGATTATTTCTGCCAGTTGATCGATATTAGATGCTTGCTACTCAACAGAATGTTAGCTAGTCTTCATTGTGCGTCCCTTAAACATTAGGTTTGAATAAAAAAATGGTAAGATGCAATATAGAGAACTTCTAACAGAAAGCCAATGGACGTCATGGCTAATATGATTGGATTTGAAAGCATATACGATCCAAGTTGGACATTGAGCTTTCTCCAATGGTACGTCCATGGACCCTTACATGCATGTCTTGATTTTGCCAAGTCTATGTTGATCCTGGAGCATCATTTTTTGTTCGAAAATGTAATCCATACCCATTCCCTACCCCTAAATCTAATTATTCGCAAAACCAGAGGGCAATAATAGATTGAAAACAGTCATGTAGAATGTATAAACCTAACCGTAAGCCTAAACTTAAAATAAACTGTAAACCTATCCCTTAATTCTGATTGGCTGATTGGAAGGTTGTTCCAGGATTAACATAGATGTTAATCCAGAAATATGTCCTACTTGGTGAAATCAGGTTGGCACCCTTTACAGCTATCAAAATCCACACTACATTCTATTTGCAGAGTGCTGAGTGACAGTTTCAAAAGGGAGTAGGACAGGGGTTTCCAAACTCGGTGATGGAGGGCTGTTGTTCTGCATAGTTTAGCTCCAACTTCCTTCAACACACCTGTTTCTAGTATACCTAGGTTAGATAGAACTTGATTAGCTGGTTTAGGTCTGTTTAATAGGGTTGAAACTAAAATATGCAGGACACTGGCCCTCCAGGACCAATCCCTGGAATAGGGATGAGCCCTTCCGGGAGGAACACATTGTGGGATGCCAAACAATTTCCCTTTGCAAAGGTTCATGGATGCCCAAAAGATCATCAGTTGTAGCCTTCAAAATCCTTCATTCCCGAGGGCCCTTTGAAGTAGCCTATTTTGAGCTCTTCAGTTTGTAATGGCACTTCAATATGGTAGCCTTGATTGTTTTCACTGCGGATGATAGATCCTGTTTGGAATGCACCGTCAGTCTCTAGTGAGTCTGTTAAACTTGTTTAGCTGGCCCAAGGGTGTTTTGAAATGTTTAGGTAGGATTGGAGCTGAACACTCGATTGTGGCCACTTGGGACCAACTTTGCAAACAACCTTAACTGGTTTATTAATCAATGAATACAAGTCATAATTACAGATAGGTCACCTAGCAAAATTGATTTTGCTAAGACACATTTTTATTCTTTATGTGAACAAAATAATCTGTAAACAAAAAGTTAATTCACCAAAAAAAGTTTGTTTTGGTAATCTTCTATCAAAGTCCCCGTATGTTGACTTCAGTTTGACAGCTTTAGCAACAGTACACTCTTATTAGGTACACCTGATCAACTGCTCGTTAATGCAAATTTCTAATCAGTCAATCACATGGCAGCAACTCAATGCATTTAGACATGTAAGCATGGTCAAGACGATCTGCTGCAGTTTGAACCAAGCATCAGAACGGGGAAGAAAAGTGATTTAAGTGACTTTGAACACGGCATGGTTATTGGTGCCAGACGAGCTGCTCTGAGTATTTCAGAAATTGCTGATCCAAAGGGATTTTCACGCACAACCATCTCTAAGGTTTATAGAGAATAGTCAGAAAAAGAGAAAATATCCAGTTAGTGGCAGTTCTGTGGGTGCAAATGCCTTGTAGATGCAAGAGGTCAGAGGACAATGGTTAGATTGGTTTGAGCTGATAGAAAGGCAACAGTAACTCAAATAACCACACGATACAACCGCTCTGAAACAAGTCAAACCTTGACGGCAGTTGGACTACAGCAGCAGAAGACTACACTATGTGTCACTCCTGTAAACTAAGAACAGGAAACTGAGGCTACAATTCACACAGACTCACCAAAATTGGACAATAGAATAGAAGAGTCTCAATTTCTGCTGCGACACTTGGATGGTAGGTTCAGAATTTGGTATCAACAACATGAAGATCCATCCTTCCTTGTATCGACAGTTCATGCTGGTTGTGGTGTAATGGTGTGGGGGAAACTTTCTTGACACACATTGGGTACATTAGTCACCCTTGGGATGTGGTTGAACGGGAGATTCACTTTATGGATGTGCAGCCGACAAATCTGCAGCCACTGCGTGATGCTGTCATGTCGGTATGGACCAAAATCTCTGAGGAATATTTCCAGTGCATAGTTGAATCTATGCCATACAGAATTAAGGCAGTTCTGAAAGCAAAGGAGGGTTCAACCCAGTAATAGTAAGGTGTACCTAATAAAGTGGCCGATGAGTGCATTCTTAACCATGTCCCTTTTACCATTAGTTACCATTACAAGGGAATGATGTGCAAAAAGAAAGCCCCGCCCCCTATTTAATATTCCATTTCAGTTGGATATACATAAAAATACTGATATAAAAGTCTTAGTTTTAGTTTCATCAACTTTCAATTCATGCGAACATGTCAGCATTGTAGCAGCAGGTTTTAGAAACAAATTGAGAAATCCAGGTGGATTTAAGCCTTAATTTCGATATTAAATGCATTCTATTGCACTTTCTGTCCTAGCGTTCCTAAGTAAGATATGAAGGTATTTGTTAAAAAGGCAAAATTAAAGCCGTTATTGAGTCATTAGTGCTGAGAGAAGCCTCTCAGTCACACTTGAGGATAATGGACCCAACATCTATCATGTGTGAGAGGCTAATTAAAAAAAAAAAGAGCGAAAGAAAGAAAGAGAGAAAAAAAAACATCATTTGGAGCATAATTTGGAGCATTAAAGTCATTAGGTGTAATTGAATCCGGCTAATGCCTTTCAGTTTCTGTCGGTCAGCTATGAGGATTCTGAAATCAAAAGAGAGAGAGGGAGAAAATGAAAGGAAGAGTGGTGAGATCTCAAGGATATAAAACCTGAGGTAAATGTGAGGGCTCTGTCAATGATGGCCATTAACCAACCCAGCTTGTTATCTGCTGTAATTAGCAAACGGGCTAAACTGGGCACTGGTGGTGAATTTGCTTTGAATCGCCTGGCCTCCTCCTTTCCAGCAGATTTAATTTTCAAACACAACAGCCATGTCAGACAGAGTGAGTAAACAACGCAGCCCAAAGCAATTACCGGAGTCATTTGGACACAATGGATACTCTCAGTGAGGGGTTACACACAGTCCAACTTAGCAAACCAGTTAGGCAATTTTGAATATTAAAAGTCAATCCACTGTAATTCCTTTTGCAGTTTTATTACTTGATAATACCGATGATTGTTTGCCACCTCTGATGCGTAAAATGTCCACCCTGCAGTTGTCTATTCGAATAGCGGCAGGATTCAGGTTCAAGGTTTTGCCTAGAAATGCTCCTCACTTTTCTTTTCTTTTTTCTCTCTCTTCTTTGTTTGTGTAGAATCTCCTGTTTCCAAATCAACCCCAGCAGCCCAACAGTCGTTTCTCGGTGTCGCCCAGTGGAGATCTAACCATCACTACGGTCCAGCGGGCAGATGCGGGCTATTATATCTGCCAGGCCCTGACGGTGGCGGGCAGCATCCTGGCCAAAGCACAGCTTGAGGTCACAGACGGTAAGCACTGGGGTGGATCTGACCAAAGCAGGGCTTTCTTACCTTGCTTGTGTTTCATTGTGCTGCTTTGTTGGATTTATTTTTTTTTTTTTTGACAATTTTTTGACAAACTTTTTACGAAGAAATACATTTCCTGAAAGTTAATTAAAGTAATTTAGTTTAGGTTATTAAAATTAAGTCAACTAAGTTTTTTTTTTTTACAAAATAATTTATAAAATTAAATAAAAAATATAAAAATATATATAAATATTAATATATATACTGTACATTTTTATTATAAAAATTTTAGTAATTTACGAAAATACAAATATAGAAATAAAATAATTCATTTTTTTTTTTTATTTTATGGTTTATTTTATTTAATTTATTTTATTTAATAATATTTTATTTAATTTAATAATACAATAATTGTTTAATTTAATAATACAATAATAAATATATATATATATATATATATATA